CGAGCGCGGTGGGGAGCTGGTCGTACTCGCAGCAGCAACAACAGCAGCAGCAGCAGCAGCAGCAACAGCAGAGGATTTCCTCAGGAGAGGGGCTTCCCAAGACGGATCTCATGGCTTTTAGCCCCAGCCTTCCTCCATGTCCAGCATTTAACCAGCATAGTGAGGCTCAAATGGTTGTGGAACTTTCCACCAAAGTGAGTAGCATTTCTTTGTTTCCCAATAATGTTCTACCATTTTGTTCTTCAATATTTTCACTTCTTTAGAAATATGCTAAAAGTGTGCTACATATATTTTCCATGATTAGCATTTTCTATTTACAGAGCTTGTGATTAAAATGGTGAGAAATGACACTTACTTTTGAACAGAATCAATAAGTAGGGAGATTTTTCACTTGTAATTTTTCTTGTTCTGTTGTTAAATGCAGTGATAAGATTATTTTATCGCGGTATGTCTAGGCGAAAATGGAAATATTTTTCCATTGAATTGCACTTATTAGCGAATGTGACTCCATTGCTGATACGATAATCCCTGCACAAAGCTGTGTGTTTTGCCTCTTTTCATTGGAAATTCCTAGTAAGAGGTAGGAGAATTCTTGCTGACTGTGAGCTTAATTAAATGCTCACAATTTACTTTATTTTTATACTTTCTGTTTCAATATTACTTTATTGTGCCTGTTGTATCTTATGGATCCTCTTTTATTCTCATTTATTTGGAGTCTCAGTTCCTCTTTTCCTCTAATATTATTTGCTTTTGTCATTATACTCTTATTTGTGAAGACTGTTAATGTTGATTTCCTAAATGAGCAAAAACTAAAATGATAATTGTGTTGTTTTCAGTTATGTCTTTATCTTCACTTTCTTATCAAAAAATGAAGTGGAAATTCAATACTTCTCTAGTATACTTAAACATTCTTTTAAAAAGAAAATTTAAAATCTTAATAATTATTTTCAACTTGATTAATTCATTTGAAATAATGATATATATGTAATTTAAACTTTCCCTGCTAGTAAAACTTACTATTCATTGGCCTGTTTTGTGTGCAGTATTGAAGAAGGGTCCTAAGGTAAAATAATCTCTAGAGTCCAGTGTCCTTGCTGGTGACCTTTTTAAAGGGTCACCTGTTTTTTCTCCTCTACCATGCAGTAAAATAGAGCCTGTCACATAATTATCACGAAAAATGAAACAATTTTCCTGTAATTTCCCTATGTATTTGTTCATTTGTCCTAGAAAATAGTTGAACCCCACCTAACTTTTCTTATAACTAGAAAGAATTATTAGCCAACTGAAACTTAATTAATACTCAGTGACATTTTAGGGAGAGCAACATGTAAAATAGACAATTTTCACTCCTCCCTTTTCCCACTTTCATTTTTTTCTTTCCTTCTTTCCTTCTTCCCTTTCTCCCTCCATCCTTCCCTTCCTTGCTTTTGACAGGGTCTCACTATGCAGTCTTTGCAGGTCTTGAATTCATGATCATCCTGCCTCAGCCTATTATTATGACTACTTACAGGCATTACAGGTGCCACTATGTCCAATTTTATTTTCATTTTTTCCTGGCACTGTCCTTTGTGGGTCCCTTATTTATCAAGTACCTGTCACAGCATACCCAGTTTCAATTCAATAATTATTAGTTCTGTTATCTTGTTGTAAAAAACAGTATCATCTAAAGTTCTTGCCTCCCTTGATATGGACTTCATTCATCAAATTCAGCTCTGCTCTTGAAATTCTTTCTGAAGAAAACTCTTGGCAAATATTTGTAAAGGCTATTGAGTGTTTTTCTTTAGATAGATATAATATTGAAGTTATACTAAGTGAATACTATTTATTTCAAATAAATATCTATTTCTATTCTGCTGCAGCCCTCATCTACACATTTCAATATACTGTATGATAAAATGAGAGGAAAATAAATTCTTTGCCCTGTCTTCTAGAGTGCTTGACATTTATGGCCAGTTTGTAAACTCTAGTTTGGGTCCCCAGTGACAGTATTCTCATTTCTGCTTTGATTCAAAAAAATTTTTTGTGAGTATAGGTCTTCATAGAGAAAGAGTCTAAAACTATTTTCTCTACATTGATTTATTATCTAGACTAATAGGTAAGAAAGAAATTTATGTATTTATGAGTCAAATATGTATTTAAGTGTAAAAAATCCCAAAACATTTTAAAATAGCTACTACCACTATCTCCTTTTATATTATGCAATATATTATAATCAATTTATTGGGAAGTCTCTGTTGCTCATTAAAACCCCAAAAGATACAAAGATTATGACTGCCAAAAATTGGTGTGAAAGTTCAGCCAATATCTAGTTTTTCAATATGGAAATTAAAATAACTTCATTAGGCCAATGTCTTGGACAATTATTTTTGTATCTCTGTATAGAGTGCTGGAGCAGTTTATCTCCCTGCCTAGTTATGCAACCACTTTAAATTGATTAATTTTACCAGAAAATGAAAGAAAACTAAACCATTTGTACTGGACAGATACCTGGCAAGTACTACAAAAGTACTTCTGAGCCATTAAGCTATTAAATACAATAATTACCTTTAAAAATATTGCAAAAACACATAATATTGAAATTCTTGCAAGGCAGAAATTAATGTAATAAATGTCTCAATTGATTCAATCTGGACACTGCAGTTCATAAAAGAAGGTAAAACTACCTGTAATCTCAGCACTCTGGGAGGCTGAAACAGAAGGTTTGCAAGTTTGAGCCAGCCTGATGAATTTAGTGTCTTAGTGACACCCTGTCTCAAAAGAAAAATAAAAAGCTTTTTGGCAGTATAGCTCAGTGCAAACATCCTGGGTATAATCAACAGCAGTACAAAAATAAAAATAAAAATAAAATAAAATGTGATTTGATCATGAAATTCTTCATGCTTCAGGAAGCTTTTGAATGGATATAGAAGTTTGGAATTAATGGGCTTTAGAGAGCAAATAAATATGTTCAGTAAAAATTTTTCCTGTTTGACTAAAATATATGAGCACAATAGGATAGAAAGGTCAGACATTTAAGATACCTGGAGAATACTCAAGTGTTCATAAGCAATGAGTGAAAATGAGAATATCACTCTTGCTCATGGGAGGCAAATAACAGGGAATAAAATTATTTGGAGTATTTTCCCACAAATCTATTTACCAGAAATTTCTACTTCTTTGTGAAAACTTCATGAAATGACTCAAGGATGCCCTTAAATTAGATCCTGATAGGATGATTCCTTTGAAAATATTTTTTAAATTTCCCTTTCAATGGATTGTTCTTGGAATCACATTCCCTAGCTAATGTTACCCTCAAGCTTCAACACCAGCAATTCAATTCAGGAATAAAAAGAGCACCATCCGTAATGACAAATTCGAATATGCTATGGAAAAGAAGGGATCTATCATGAATTTTTAAACCTACAATTCACTGTATTATGTTTATGAAGTGCATATTAACTTACTGGAAAGTGCATATTTCTTACTGGAAAGAAAGGTTTTAGAAATGCTCTGTAAAACACGCATAATAAAAAGATTTCCCCTAGTAAAAGCTGTCCCTGTGATAAAATTAAGGCTCACAATCAGTCAGTGGTACAAAATATACCTCCCCAGGAGTGGAAAATCTAATCCAATTCTCTAAAACGGAAAGATATTTAAAGAAGTTGAAAGGACAAGCAAGATCTGGCAGCACGGATTTCCAGAATCTATACGGTTTGGAGCCACAGGATGTCGCTCTTTACCATAAAATAGACCTGACAAAGAAGAAAATAAAGGGAAACACATCCCTCTGTTCTTACTGGAAAGAAGCTTCATCCACCATTCGGAGTCTGAAAAACGGAGGATGCAACGACACTGCCCTGACCGATCCAGAGGTTTCTCTTGGTTTTGAGACAGGAACTCTAATTAGAACAAAGCACCGTGCATTTGAGATGGAGTTGTCCTGGGGAAGCAGCCAGGAATCCCAGCACCTACTGCTCTCCTTTCTTCTCCTCGCAGTCTGGGAGACCGGGAGCGGCCAGCTCCACTACTCGGTCCCCGAGGAGGCCAAACACGGCACCTTCGTGGGCCGCATCGCGCAGGACCTGGGGCTGGAGCTGGCGGAGCTGGTGCCGCGCCTGTTCCGGGTGGCGTCCAAGGAGCGCGGGGACCTTCTGGAGGTAAATCTGCAGAATGGCATTTTGTTTGTGAATTCTCGGGTCGACCGGGAGGAGCTGTGCGGGCGGAGCGCGGAGTGCAGCATCCACCTGGAGGTGATCGTGGACAGACCGCTGCAGGTTTTCCACGTGGAGGTGGAGGTGAAGGACATTAACGACAACCCGCCTGTGTTCCCAGCGACACAAAAGAATCTGTTCATCGCGGAATCTAGGCCACTTGACACTCGGTTACCGCTAGAGGGCGCATCGGATGCAGATGTCGGAGCCAATGCTCTGCTCACTTACAGACTGAGCCCCAATGAGTATTTTTCGCTGGAAAAACCAGCCGATGATGAACGGATAAAAGGTCTTGGGCTTGTATTACGGAAACCTTTAGATCGAGAAGAAACTCCGAAGATATTTTTAGAGCTCACCGTCACTGATGGAGGCAAACCCGAGCTGACTGGCACCGTCCATTTACTCATCACGGTACTGGATGCTAACGACAATGCCCCAGTTTTTGACAGAACACTTTATGCCGTGAAACTGCCAGAAAATGTTCCAAATGGAACGATGGTAATTAAAGTCAATGCTTCTGACTTAGACGAAGGCTTGAATGGGGAAGTTATTTATTCATTTTCAACTGATATTTCACCAAATGTAGAATCCAAGTTCCACATAGATCTGTTTACAGGACAAATTATTGTACAGGGAAATATTGATTTTGAAGAATGCAAATCCTATGAAATACTTGTAGAGGGTACTGACAAGGGACAGCTTCCACTCTCTGGCCATTGTAGAGTCATTGTAGAAGTAGAAGACATCAACGACAATGTTCCAGATTTGGAATTCAAGTCTGTATCACTTTCAATAAGAGAGAACGCTCAATTGGGCACTGTGATCACCCTGATCAGCGTGTCCGACCGGGACTCTGGTGTCAACGGACTGGTGACTTGCTCCTTAAATCCCCCTGTTCCCTTCAAGCTGGTGTCCACCTTCAAGAACTACTATTCCCTGGTGCTGGACAGCGCCCTGGACCGGGAGAGCGCGTCTGGCTACGAGGTGGTGGTGACTGCCAGGGACGGGGGCTCGCCCTCGCTGTGGACCACGGCCACCGTGTCCGTGGAGGTGGCCGACGTGAACGACAACGCGCCGGTGTTCGCGCAGGCCGAGTACACGGTGTTCGTGAAGGAGAACAACCC